TTTATAGTTTCCTTTCCTTTAAGATATATATTCTGCATCCTTTTAGACAACGTTGATTAAGCAATTTCCGTCTGTCCGCCAGTCTATCTGGTTGTCCGTATTTCAGTATGTCTGTTTACAGGGTCTAAAGAATTCGTTACAAACGAATATAGCATTCTTACTTGTTGTCACTAACGTGACTCTATACATGTCCCTTCTTCGTGTAAGTGGTGTAATATAATATAGTTAATATAATTTTTCGTTTTTTTATTTTTATTAATAATTTTAATAACAATACAAATAAAATTTAATTTTAATATTTAATTATAAAATCACTTAATATCATTTGTCACACTTAAAAACATCATATGCCACAAACCACTTCAGTTTTTACTATAACATGACATCATTCTGTCTCTATCAGAAACCACTCTACTCTTAATTGAATATGATGAAACCTGAGCCCTCCAAAATCTAACCCCCCCCCTCCCCATTTAACAAAACAAACTCTCTATATACATAATTACAACACTCTTTTTCTCTCTTCAAAAAATACCAACTAATTAAATATGTCACCATGACATACAGAACATACATACTTGAATAAAATATTTATACTCGTAAATTCAAAACACTTTAACGAAAATTAACAAAAAAATAAAATAAAATACGGTATTAATTAATATTAATAATAGTTCAAAATGAATAAAACAATAAAAACATCATTGTATTGGACTTTAACTGATAATTACGCACACGCACGCAGTGAGTCCTTTGCCTTTACTTGTTTTTTTTTTTTTTATTTTAGTTCGTTGTTCTCTTTTTCAATGGTTTTTATTTCAATTTCTATTGAGATCTTTTTTATGTTTTGTTTTTTACCAAATACCATTTGAGTTACATTCATTTTGTTGTTATTATGGTTATTTGCGGTTAATTGTTGTTATTGGTGTTGTTTAAATGTAAATAAAAAAACGAAAGTGAATTAAATTCAAAAAAATAGCTAGTTTACAATTGAGACCACACAACCACAGTAGCCCAGGCTACTTGTAGCTGAAGATTTATTCACCAAAATGGTTTTAAGTGTTCTTAACTTTAACTTTACTTTTGACATTTTCATACGTTAATGTCAAACATGTTGTGTCTTTCGTTAACAATCGCCTGTCGTTTTGCGGTTTCAGTTGTATTCAGGCTGTAAAACGTGTGATGTGCGCTTGCTGTTGTTGTACATTTTCATTTAAATTAATTTCAAAATGGTCGATCGAAAACACTCACAACAAACATATTCTTACATATTTTCATACATATTTTACTTACTTACACCTGCTTATACTACATACATTACGTTTACCAAACAGGACATGTTCGAACTTGTAAATATTTTGGTTTTTTTTTTGGGATTTTTCCATGCATTTTAAAATATTTTCACGATTTTTTTTCGATTGTTTTTATTTTAATTTGATTTCGTTTTAATTTCATTTTAAATAATTTAACACATTTATAACTGTTAAGCGGAAAATGGTGTGTCCATTTTGTTGGCTTTACTTTAGTAGTGTATTTTTACCGGCAATGTTCACATTAATCAAATATTTGAAACATAAACTCATAAAAACTTATTCCATGTTACTAGAAATTTTGTAACAACAAACAATTTATTGCTATGACCATTTTAAAACCTTAAATAGTTTATTTGACCAAATTACTTCTCTCTCTCTCTCTCTCTGTTTGCCTTCAAATATTTGTCTAATGTGTGCTTATCAAGTGTTTTTTTTTTTTTCACATTTAAAGCATTTATGGCCCTTCAATCGGTTTTTTGTTAAAAATATAAATTTAATTAAACACTTAAAAACTTCAGCTTAGCCTTTGTTTGTTTTTTCTTTTACACCTTTTTTTTTTTGTTGTTTATAAAGCGTTTACATGATTGCAATTTATTGAATTATTAAATATTTTTTTGTTGTTGTTAAACTATTTTGAATTTTCTGTAGTTGTAGTTTGTTTTCTATATTTTTTTTTAGATTTTATTTTAAAATATTAATGCGATTTTTGTTGCAGTTCAAGATTTTTAGTGTTATTGATTTTATTTGAGGTGATTTTTTAAAAATATATTCTCCGTTAATCTGGAAATCGGGTAATCTGTTAGCTATGGATCATACTATTCACTACTCTTAGGACTACTTAGTCTATTGGCTAGTCTATGTCATATTTTATTGACTAAACTGTGGACTAGTCTGTAGATTAGTCTATGGACTAGTCTATGGATTCATCAATAGTCTACTATATGGATTAGCCAATTGACAAGTCTATGGGCTATTCTATTGACTATTCAAAGAACTAGCCTATTGACTAATCTATGAACTAGTAAATTGATCTATGTTCTAGTCCAATGGTTAGCCAATGAACTAGTCTAATGACTGATCTATGAGCTAGTCTAATGATTGGTGTATTGACCAGTTTATGGACTAGTCTTTTGACTAGCCTTTAGATCAATCTATTGACTAGCTTAAAGACTATCTATTGAAGAGTCTATAGACTTGCATATGGACTAGCCTATAGAATTTTTTATGGACTAGTCTATGCATTAGTGTATACTATGGACTGTTCTATTGACTATGCTATGGACTGGTGTATTGACTAGTCCGTGGACTAGTCTATGAGCAAATCTATTAACTAGTCTGTAGATTAGTCTATTGACTAGCCTAATGAATAGTATATTAGTTAGTATAATAACTGGTCTATTGACAAGTCTAATAATAGACATATGGACTAGTCTTATGACTAGCCTATGGACTAGTCTATACTAAGGACTGTTCTATTGACTAAGCTATAGACTACTGAATAGTATATTGACTAATATAATGACTAGTATATATACAAATATTTTGGCTAGTCTGTGGACTATGGACTAGTCTATAGACTTGCCTATGAACTAGTCTATATACTTGTCTGTAGACTAGACTAGTCTAATGACTAATCAATTGGCTAATCTAATGTTAAGTATATTGACAAGTCTAATGACAGGTATATTGACAAGAAATTTGACTACTATATGGACCAACCTATTGACTACTATATAGACAAGTCTATTGACTTATCTATGGACTAGTCTATTGACTTATCTATGGACTAGTCTATTGACTACTCTATGGACTAGTCAAAAGTTTATAGACTAGTCAACAAGCTATGGGCTAGTAAACAGTCATGGAATAGTTAACAGTCTATGGACTAGTCTATGTATTAATCTATACTTTGGACTGTACTATTGACTAATCATTAGACTAGTATAGTGACTAGTCCAGGGACTATTCTAGGGACAAATCTATGAGCAAGCCAATTGACTAATCCAGAGGTTAGTCTATTGACTAATTCATAGGTTAGTCTATTGACTAGTCTATTAACTAGTCTATAGAGTTACCTATGGACTATTCTATGGGCTTCTATGGATTACTCTATACTCTGGACTGTTCTATTGAATATTAGCTAGTCTGTTGACTAGTCTATAAGCTATTCTATAGTCTGTAGAGCAGTCTAACCTTTATCAATAGAACATACTATTGAATAGTCTATTGACAAGTATATTGATATATTGCCTAGTCTTTGGACGTGTCGATTGACTAGCCTATAGTCAATCTATTCACTAGTCTTTAGGCTAGTCTACAGACATATTCACTAGTCTTTGAACAAGTTTATGAACTAGTCAATTGATAAGTATATGGACTAGTCTATGGACTATTCTCTTGACTAGTTTACTGAGTATACAAGGGAGCTGTTCTATAGTTTGTAGTCTTTCTATTATATACCTTAGTTAATTGAACAGATTGAATATTCTATTGACTAGTATATTGATCTATTGCCTAGTCTTTGAACGTGTCGATTGACTAGTCCATGGCTAATCTATTCACTAGTCTTTGAACAAGTTTGTGGACTAGTAAATTGATAAGTATGTGCACTAATCTATGGACTATTCTTTTGACTAGTCTACTGAGTATACAAGGCAGCTGTTCTATAGTTTGTAGACCATTCTATACCTTAGTCAATAGAACAGATTGAATATTCTATTGACTAGTATATTGATATATTGCCTAGTCTTTGGACGTATCGATTGACTAGTCCATGGCTAATCTATTCGCTAGTCTATAGACATGATCACTAGTCTTTGAAATGGTTGTGGACTAGTCAATTGATAAGTATATGGACTAGTCTATGGACTATTCTTTTGACTAGACTTTATTAAATCTAATTCCAGGAAACCCTTTATGGGGGCTTGATAAAATCATAGTTATTTTAGCATTTGAACTTACATTCGTAAATGTATTTAAAGCAGAAACCGAAAAAAAAATCCTGAGAACTTTTTTTAATTTTTTATGAACTTTTTGTTTTTTTTTTATTTAAGCGTTTTAAAATAGCTTGATATAAAAATAGTAGTATGTAGTGTGAAATTTATTATTTTATTTATAAAACCTCAAAAAAAAAAAAAAACAAATCCGTTTGTATACATATATTTTACTATTAATCTTTTTTTTTAGTTAAATGTAGAATTTTTTTCATCATTTATAAATATGCAGTTAGTTTGTTAGTTATAGTTATTGAACAATGAAATTGATTTTGAGGTTAAACACAAACATTTAGTTGTTATTTTTTTTAAACCATTTAGCATGACTTAGTTTAAATTTATATAGAATAATTACTATATAAATTTAAACAAATTAAAACATTTGCATTTAATTTGTATAGTATTGTAGTAAATTGTTTAATTTAATTTATAACAATTAACATAATATATATTTTATAACAAACATATATGAACATAAAACAATATTTCATACATTTTATTTTTATTAAATTTTCATATTTTACTCATTTTGGGTTGTAACTAACTAATATGTTAACACTAAATACTGAATTAAAAAAAATATATAATTTTGTTTAAAACATAAAAATAAACATACAACTACTGCCACTACTACTACTACTACTACTAAAATAAATTATATGAAAAATGCTTAAAAATAATTAACAAACAAAAGTATGATGAGGAAACTAATGCCACCCCCGAGTCATCTAAAGGTAGTAAGGAAGTATTGCACAGTGTTACATATCGACCACCATCATCGGGTGGCCCACATTCGCATCATCCCCATCAACATCATAAGTCAACTACCTGTTTGGGTGGATGTACCGATCGCAAGGGATCAACAGTAAGTACAAATATACAAATATTTTTGAAATAAAGTAAACGTTCAATTCTCCTAAAATAAAGTACTAATATAAATATAAAGAATTCCATTTGGAACGAAAATAAACGACAATATTTAAGATCAATAAAAAAACTTAGGACCTTCAAGAAAGATTTTTCTCACGCGCTCTCTAGCCTTTACAGAAGGCAAACAAAAAATTCAGGGAGCTGTTTGTCTCTCTCTCTCTTTCTCTCGCTCTTTCTCTGCCAATTTACTAAAGCTTGGGCCAATTATGGACTGAAGTTTTTTTATGCATTTCTATTTGAGGCTTTAGCTTCAGTCTTAAATTGATTTTCATGAGAAACCGTTACACGGTATAAACACAAGATTAATAAGCACGATCAATTAAAGTCTGAACTTTGGACATGTTGCCCGAGTCCCATAACATATGGTAAGAAGGATTTAGGACTACTGTGTAGTGTATGGACTAGTTTATTGAATAGTCCACAGTCTGGACTGGTTAATTGCTTAGTTTATGGATCAGACTATTGATTAGACTATGGACCTGTCTATTGACTAGTCTTACGACTAGTCTTATTTATAATACTAATCTGATTAGTCTATCGAATAGTATATTGTCTAGTCTATGGCTATGGACTAGTCTATGGCTATGGACTAGTCTATTGGCTAGTCTATGGACAAGTCTACTAACTAGACCCTGTACTAGTACATTGTCTATTCTATTGACTAATCTATTGATTAATCTATTGAATAATCTATGAACTATAGTCTATTGTCTAGTATATCGGCTAGTCTACTGGCTAAGCTTTTGACTAGTCTATTAGCTAGGCTATTGACTAATCTTTAGACTATTCTATTGACTAGCCTATGGACTAGTCTGTTGGCTGGTTCATTGTCTAGTCTAGGGACTAGTCTAGGGACTAGTCTATTGACTAGTCTAGCGACTAGTCTGTTGACTATTATATTGACTAGTCTAGCGACTAGTCTGTTGACTATTATATTGACTAGTCTATCGATTAGTATATGGACTAGTCTATTGTCTAGTTTTTTAGCTGGTCTATTGACTAATCTAGTCTACTGACTAGAACCTTGACTGGTTCATTGTCTATGGACTAGTCTATTGCTAGTCTATTGATTAGTCTATGGACCAGTCTATTGATTATTCCATTGGCTATTCTAAGTACTAGTCTATTGGATAGGCTATTGACTAGTCTATTGATTAGTATTTGGACTATTTTATCGTCTAGTCTATGGACTAGTTTAGTGATTAGTCTATGGACTAGTCTATTGATTAATCTATGGATTAGGCTATTATATAATTTATGGTCAAATATATTGACTAGTCTATTGACTAGTCTATTATCTACTGACTAGTCTCTGAACTGGTTCATTGTCTAGTCTGTGGACTAGTCTATTAACTAGTCTATTGATTAGTCTATTGACTAGTCTCTTGGCTACTCTATGGACTAGTCTATTGGCTACGCTATTGAATAGTATTTGAACTATTTTATGGTCTAGTCTAAGAACTAGTTAGTGATTAATCTATGGAATAGTCTATTGATTAGTCTAAGGACAAGGCTAGTCTATTGGCAATTATATGGACCAGTATATTGACTAGTCTATTGACTAGCCTATTGACTAGTCCATTGGCTAGTCTATTGACTACTCCATTGGGTAGTCTATTGGCTAGTCTATTGACTACTCCATTGGGTAGTCTATTGGCTAGTCTATTGACTAGTCTATTGACTAGTCTACTGACTAGTCTATTGACTAGTCTATTGACTAGTCTACTGACTAGTATATTGACTAGTCTATTGACTAGTCTACTGACTAGTTTACTGACAAGGCTATTGACTAGTCTAATGATTAGTCTATTGACTAGCCTATTGACTAGTCTATTGACTAGTCTATTGACTAATCCATTGGCTAGTCTATTGACTAGTGTATTGGCTAGTCTATTTACTAGTCTATTGGCTAGTCTATGGACTAGTTTATTGGCCAGTCTATTGGCTAGTCTATAGGCTAGTCTATTGGCTAGTCTATCGGCTAGTCTATAGGCTAGTCTATTGACTAGTCTATTGGCTAGTCTATTGACTAGTCTATTGCCTAATCTATTGAATAGTCTATTGGCTAGTCTATTGACTAGTCTATTGGCTAGTCTATTGTCTAGTCTCTGGACTGGTTCATTGTCTGGTCTATGGACTAGTCTAATGACCAGTATATAATAAATATATAGTCTATTGATTAGTCTATTGACTATTTAATTGATTAGTATATGGACTAATCTATTGACTAGTACATGGACTAGTCTATTGGTGATTCTATTGGACTGGTTCATTGTATGGTCTATGGTTTTTGGATTCGTATATGAACAAGTCCATAGGCTAATATATGGACTATTCTATTGATTAGTATATGGACTAGTCTATTGATTATTATATGGACTAGTCTGTTGGTCAGTCTATTGACTAGTGTATGGATTAGTTTATTGACTAGCTTATGGACTATTATATTGACTAGCCTATGAACTAGCCAATTGTCCAGTCTATGGACTAGTCTATATTCGAGTCTATGGACTAGTCTATTGCCTAGTTTATTCGCTATACTATGACTAATCTCCGAACTAGTCTCTAAACTGCTGACTTGTCTACGGCCTATTGACTAGTATATGGCAAAGCCTAAGGTAAAGACTAGTCTAATGGCTATACTATGGACTAGTCTCTTTACAATCTTATGTACTAGTCTATGAATTACTCTAATCGGTGGTCTAGTCTATTGACATTTCTGTTGACTAGTCTATGAACTATTTCGTTGGCTAATGTCTTGCCAAATCTGTTAACTAGTTTATGGTCTAGTCCATTGGCTAACAGTATATGTGCTAGTTTTGTCTATTGTATTAGTCTACTGACTATTATATTGAATAGTCCTTGATTAGTCTTTTACAAAATGTAGCAGAGAATTAAAAGCTCTTAATAAACTGTTCCTTAAAACCCCTATAACTGTGTAAAGGTTACTTCATTTATTCACCCAACTATTCGCAATATGTAACACATTTATAATTTACTAATAACTAACCAATATAAATTTAATTTCTGGGGTCTTGTACGACAAGGTAGGTAAAACATTACTATAAAATTCTAAATTTAAAAAAAAAAAAAAACTGCCTTAAACATTTTCTTTAAGACCTACTGAATGAATGACTTGTTCAAATTGCATTTTTGAAAATTTTAGAAAAATAAAACTGTAGTTGAAGCATGATTAAATAATAATAATAATTCTCTTTTAATTTTCAAACTGAACTATTTGAACTATTTAACTATTATATATAATAATAATAAAAATAATTTAAAAACCACTAACTAAACTACTGTTAATAATAAAGCTTTTTGTAAAATTAGGAATGCTTTTAATCGTTCCATTACTACTTAAAAAAAATACCCAAAAACAGACAACATTTTCTACTAAAACTGCTGCTTACAGTAACTTTTTTTTATAATTATAAAAAGATTTAATCATGAAAAATTAAAATAAAAATAGAAAATAACTGTTTAAAAAAAATAAGAACTAGTAGTGTTATTAAAACTTAGTAGATGTTTTAAATACAAAAAAAAAGAAAAGTAATAAACTTCCCTAACCCCTTAAAGGATAAAGAGAAACTAATTGTACAATAGTCATCTATGTTTTTTCAGTACTCGATCAATTTGGCCGATGAGGCAAGAGATAATCATGCGCAACAAATCGAAAGGGCTGAAATAGCGAATTTAGTAAGAAGTCGCATGGAATCATTAAATTTACCCACCATTGATTATGATGATGTAAGCGAGAAACGCAACCATTTATCGTATGTGATAATCAATCCAAGCTGTGATCTTAAATTAGAAGAAGGCGATTTGATGTGAGTATTTGAAGGGCCTCATACCCACTAAATAAATTCTTAATAAAATTATTTTCTCTCTCTCTCTCTCGTTCTTAACAGTTACTTAGTACGTCCTTCACCCTTCTCGGCGCAGAAGACCTTTGAACGTCACAACTCCCGACGCAAATCCAACATATCATTTTGTTCGAACATCAATTTGGGTGCTGCTTGCGGTCCGAATGTCAGCTCTGTGGGTGTCAATTCTAGTACTGGCGCCGGTTCGAGACGTGGCTCCGGCATGGGTCTAAATCCCATGCAAATGCAGAGTGTTCAAACATTGGCCGGGTATGCTTCGCCACGCTGCACGCCGCCAATACAACAAATTAAATCCAATTCTCTTTCTCTACCCGACAGTCCTACAGTTGTTGGCTCGCAGCGCGGTCGGAGTAATTCATTACGGGTTGGCTATACTTCAAATTATTTTCTCACATTTTTTTATTTCTTTTTTTTCGAAGAATTTTTTTGTTTTTGTTTGAAAACCAAAAAAAAGAAAAGAAAACGCAATTATTTACTTTCCCGTATTTTATCCAAAATGCAATTTCTCTGATTATGTACTTTTTTCTAATATTGGTTTAATTGTCTATCCGTATTGTGCTGTGTTTTGTGTTTCATAACAGTATTATTTGCGTAGTTAATTTACTTAATTGATTTTATTTTATTTTTAGTATAAACATCTCTTTCTTTCCCCTTGAGTTGATTTATTTTTTATAAGTAGTTACGTAATGTTCAAAACTTTTGTTGTTTAGTAGGTTTTATATGACCTTTCCGTAGTTTAGTCAATAACCTTGTCGCTGCTTGAAGGGAAAATCTCAGAACTAATAAGGAGAAAAATGAGGTCTTAGACATCATCTAAGAATTTTAGAGATAAAGGTCCTGTAGATTAAGATTTTTCATTAATATCATATTGATACCATGATGATATATCGAAGGCCATAGGACAAAAGAGATTAAAATCTGTGATCACTCTTTCTTCTCGATTTTTCGATTTTTCTTACCACCAAAATTCCATTTTTAGCGAAAACATAAAAGTCCATTTTCTGGCTAAAAAGAAGGCACTAGGGCAAAAAGGATTAAAATCTGTGATCAATCTTACATCCCACCAAAATTCGATTTTCTAGTGACAACATAATGGTCCATTTTCTGGCTAAACGGAAGGCCCTAGGGCCAAAAGGATTAAAATCTGTGATCACTCTTACTTCCCACCAAATTTCGATTTTTTGGTGAAAACATAAAAGTCCATTTTCTGGCTAAACGGAAGGCCCTAGGGCCAAAAGGATTAAAATCTGTGATCACTCTTACTTCCCACCAAATTTCGATTTTTTGGTGAAAACATAAAAGTCCATTTTCTGGCTAAACGGAAGGCCCTAGGGCCAAAAGGATTAAAATCTGTGATCACTTTTACTTCCCACCAAATTTCGATTCTTTAGTGAAAACATAAAAGTCCATTTTCTGGCTAAACGGAAGGCCCTAGGGCCAAAAGGATTAAAATCTGTGATCACTCTTACTTCCCACCAAATTTCCATTTTTTAGTGAAAATATAAAAGTCCATTTTCTGGCTAAACGGAAGGCCCTAGGGCCAAAAGGATTAAAATCTGTGATCACTCTTACTTCCCACCAAATTTCGATTTTTTAGTGAAAATATAAAAGTCCATTTTCTGGCTAAACGGAAGGCTCTACTAGGGCCAAAAGGATTAAAATCTGTGATCACTCTTACTTCCCACCAAATTTCCATTTTTTAGTGAAAATATAAAAGTCCATTTTCTGGCTAAACGGAAGGCCCTAGGGCCAAAAGGATTAAAATCTGTGATCAATCTTACATCCCACCAAAATTCGATTTTCTAGTGACAACATAATGGTCCATTTTCTGGCTAAACGGAAGGCCCTAGGGCCAAAAGGATTAAAATCTGTGATCACTCTTACTTCCCACCAAATTTCGATTTTTTGGTGAAAACATAAAAGTCCATTTTCTGGCTAAACGGAAGGCCCTAGGGCCAAAAGGATTAAAATCTGTGATCACTCTTACTTCCCACCAAATTTCCATTTTTTAGTGAAAACATAAAAGTCCATTTTCTGGCTAAACGGAAGGCCCTAGGGCCAAAAGGATTAAAATCTGTGATCACTCTTACTTCCCACCAAATTTCGATTTTTTAGTGAAAACATAAAAGTCCATTTTCTGGCTAAACGGAAGGCCCTAGGACAAAAAGGATTAAAATCTGTGATCACTTTTACTTCCCACCAAATTTCGATTTTTTAGTGAAAACATAAAAGTCCATTTTCTGGCTAAACGGAAGTCCCTAGGGCAAAAAGGATTAAAATCTGTGATCACTCTTTCTTCCCACCAAATTTCAATTTTTTTCTGAAAACATAAAAGTCCATTTTCTGGCTAAACGGAAGGCCCTACTGCCAAAAGGATTAAAATCTGTGATCACTTTTACTTCCCACCAAATTTCGATTTTTTAGTGAAAACATAAGGATTAAAATCTGTGATCACTCTTTCTTCCCACCAAATTTCGATATTTTGGTGAAAACATAAAAGTCCATTTTCTGGCTAAACGGAAGGCCCTAGGTCCAAAAGGATTAAAATCTGTGATCACTCTTACTTCCCACCAAATTTCGATTTTTTAGTGAAAATATAAAAGTCCATTTTCTGGCTAAACGGAAGGCCCTAGGGCAAAAAGGATTAAAATCTGTGATCACTCTTACTTCCCACCATAAAAGTCCATTTTCTGGCTAAACGGAAGGCCCTAGGGCAAAAAGGATTAATATCTGTGATCACTCTTACTTCCCACCAAATTTCGATTTTTTGGTGAAAACATAAAAGTCCATTTTCTGGCTAAACGGAAGGCCCTAGGGCCAAAAGGATTAAAATCTGTGATCACTCTTACTTCCCACCAAATTTCAATTTTTTGGTGAAAACATAAAAGTCCATTTTCTGGCTAAACGGAAGGCCCTAGGGCCAAAAGGATTAAAATCTGTGATCACTCTTACTTCCCACCAAATTTCGATTTTTTGGTGAAAACTTAAAAGTCCATTTTCTGGCTAAACGGAAGGCCCTAGGGCCAAAAGGATTAAAATCTGTGATCACTCTTACTTCCCACCAAATTTTGAATTTTTTGTGAAAATATAAAAGTTCATTTTCTGGCTAAACGGAAGGCCCTAGGACCTAAAGGATTAAAATCTGTGATCACTCTTTTTTCCCACCAAATTTCGATTTTATAGTGAAAACATAAAAGTCCATTTTCTGGCTAAACGGAAGGCCCTGGGGCAAGAAGGATTAAAATCTGTGATCACTCTTACTTCCCACCAAATTTCGATTTTTTGGTGAAAACTTAAAAGTCCATTTTCTGGCTAAACGGAAGGCCCTAGGGCAAAAAGGATTAAAATCTGTGATCACTTTTACTTCCCACCAAATTTCGATTTTTTGGTGAAAACATAAAAGTCCATTTTCTGGCTAAACGGAAGGCCCTAGGTCCAAAAGGATTAAAATCTGTGATCACTCTTTCTTCCCACCAAATTTCGATTTTTTGGTGAAAACTTAAAAGTCTATTTCTGGCTAAACGGAAGGCCCTAGGGCAAAAAGGATTGAAATCTGTGATCACTTTTACTTCCCACCGAATTTCGATTTTTTAGTGAAAACATAAGGATTAAAATCTGTGATCACTCTTACTTCCCACCAAATTTCGATATTTTGGTGAAAACATAAAAGTCCATTTTCTGGCTAAACGGAAGGCCCTAGGGCCAAAAGGATTAAAATCTGTGATCACTCTTACTTCGATTTTTTGGTGAAAACTTAAAAGTCCATTTTCTGGCTAAACGGAAGGCCCTAGGGCAAAAAGGATTAAAATCTGTGATCACTTTTACTTCCCACCGAATTTCGATTTTTTAGTGAAAACATAAGGATTAAAATCTGTGATCACTCTTACTTCCCACCAAATTTCGATATTTTGGTGAAAACATAAAAGTCCATTTTCTGGCTAAACGGAAGGCCCTAGGGCCAAAAGGATTAAAATCTGTGATCACTCTTACTTCGATTTTTTGGTGAAAACTTAAAAGTCCATTTTCTGGCTAAACGGAAGGCCCTAGGGCAAAAAGGATTAAAATCTGTGATCACTTTTACTTCCCACCGAATTTCGATTTTTTAGTGAAAACATAAGGATTAAAATCTGTGATCACTCTTACTTCCCACCAAATTTCGATATTTTAGTGAAAACATAAAAGTCCATTTTCTGGCTATACGGAAGGCCCTAGGGCAAAAAGGATTAAAATCTGTGATCACTCTTACTTCCCACCAAATTTCAATATTTTAGTGAAAACATAAAAGTCCATTTTCTGGCTAAACGGAAGGCCCTAGGGCAAAAAGGATTAAAATCTGTGATCACTCTTTCTTCCCACCAAATTTCAATTTTTTTCTGGAAACATAAAAGTCCATTTTCTGGCTAAACGGAAGGCCCTACTGCCAAAAGGATTAAAATCTGTGATCACTTTTACTTCCCACCAAATTTCGATTTTTCAGTGAAAACATAAAAGTCCATTTTCTGGCTAAACGGAAGGCCCTAGGGCCAAAAGGATTAAAATCTGTGATCACTCTTACTTCGATTTTTTGGTGAAAACTTAAAAGTCCATTTTCTGGCTAAACGGAAGGCCCTAGGGCAAAAAGGATTAAAATCTGTGATCACTTTTACTTCCCACCGAATTTCGATTTTTTAGTGAAAACATAAGGATTAAAATCTGTGATCACTCTTACTTCCCACCAAATTTCGATATTTTAGTGAAAACATAAAAGTCCATTTTCTGGCTATACGGAAGGCCCTAGGGCAAAAAGGATTAAAATCTGTGATCACTCTTACTTCCCACCAAATTTCAATATTTTAGTGAAAACATAAAAGTCCATTTTCTGGCTAAACGGAAGGCCCTAGGGCAAAAAGGATTAAAATCTGTGATCACTCTTTCTTCCCACCAAATTTCAATTTTTTTCTGGAAACATAAAAGTCCATTTTCTGGCTAAACGGAAGGCCCTACTGCCAAAAGGATTAAAATCTGTGATCACTTTTACTTCCCACCAAATTTCGATTTTTCAGTGAAAACATAAAAGTCCATTTTCTGGCTAAACGGAAGGCCCTAGGGCCAAAAGGATTAAAATCTGTGATCACTCTTACTTCGATTTTTTGGTGAAAACTTAAAAGTCCATTTTCTGGCTAAACGGAAGGCCCTAGGGCAAAAAGGATTAAAATCTGTGATCACTTTTACTTCCCACCGAATTTCGATTTTTTAGTGAAAACATAAGGATTAAAATCTGTGATCACTCTTACTTCCCACCAAATTTCGATATTTTAGTGAAAACATAAAAGTCCATTTTCTGGCTATACGGAAGGCCCTAGGGCAAAAAGGATTAAAATCTGT